GGGTATGATGAAACGCGGTAATAATTGCGTTATCCAGACAAAGGACGGTTATGGATACGCGCTGCTACCGCCACAGCCACAACCTCGAAGCATCATCCTCCGCCCACCCTTGAGGGTGCCGTCGAATAAGGTAGAAGCCTCTCTCTCTACTCTACCCGTTTCATCCCTCCCTCGGCAAATATGGCCGCTTTAACGAGGCACACCACCGCGATACACCATATTGTTCTCCTTCGATCTCCCTTATACGCTTGCCTTTTTATGCTTTTTTAACTATCTTCTTTTCTTTCCCGAATCGTTATAGAAACAAATCGTCTACCCTTACAACAATCTATCTTTTATGTTTATTTTTTTTATTCTTTTGCGATTAATATTACGATCCGAGTATATAATAGTATATCGATAGAGATAAATGATAGAGAAACCGTGTTAGTTAACCAATCCGAAACGAAAGTAGAAAGACGAGCCGCGAATAGTCGGTCGGTCATATGAGAAATGGATTTTTTATACGAGCAGAGACGTATTATCTTAGTCTCTTCGACGACAGAAAAGGAAGGAACCAAGTCCCGTCTTGGACTCCCAACCCCTGCAGCAAAGCAAGGAAACGGATGACGAATGCCGATTTGACGGTGGCTCGTCCCAGGGAAGAAGGGGAGTCCCTGAAGCCGATGGAATGGTAAATAAGGCTACGTTCTAGGTAGGCAACGTTATTTATGAGGACGTAATTTAATAAGCGAAAGATGAGCAGGGAGATAGAGCAGAGAGAAAGGGAAATATATAAAAAGAAAAAGAGAAGAAAGAAGCGCCATCCGGAAAGCCGAAAGTGGCATGAAAGTAGCAGTCGTTGTTGTATTCCATTGGTCGTATCCCCATGTAAAAGTAGTAGCTCGTATATACTACCAGCCAGCCATATGGCGGCTCAACGCGAGAACACACATACGCATTACCTTTCTCTTTCTTTCTCTTATTCGAAACTAAGTCTGTGAATTCCGAGGGTGAGAAATGATATGGAAGTAATGGACCCCGTTTGCTTGCGCCTGCCTCCGCGGGAGATTGACCGGTACGATAGCGTCCAAGGAAAAACTACTAACTGGTTCCCTCCTCCTACCCCTAAAGAGAGCTCGATGACAGATTGATACGATTCGAGTTCTGGATTTGCTACGACAGATTTTCAACCAACTGTTGTCGAACTCTACCGATCATTACGTCGAATTATACTTACGAGATAGATATATAGTACTTGATCGATGCGTTCGACAACGTTTTCTTCGCGATTTCCTTCCTCCTCTCCTAACTAGCAGAATTTCAATTAATTAGTTTGGTCTCTGCGCGATCGTAGAGAACTCGAGGAGAACGAAACTGGCGTTCGTCAATTTTTTCCAAAGTATGAAACAAACCCGCGTATCTACGATTATTATTTCTGTTAGTTCAAATAGATCGTATCTCAAGTTGAGGCTTTGTTCGAAAGATAAAATAAGATGGCGATAACTATTCTTTCGGAGAGCTGTTATGGCTTGCTCGTCTTTAGGATAAGATTTATCTCGTCGGAAGATCGTCGGATCCGTGGCAGGAGTTAGGACGAAGGATGTTCCGGTGGAACAACAGGAAGTTAAGGGAGGCTTTCTCCCTTTCTAGGATATCGACTTCGTTGAAACCACAGAAGAGAGACGGAGACAGAGAGGAAGAAAAAGAAAGAGAGAGAGAGAGAGAGAGAGAGAGAGAGAGAGAGAGGGTGAAAACGCGAGCCACGCTAAAGCAGAACGTCGTCGGGGGCTGTGCTCGAGGAAACGAGAAGAAGGAGGCTGTGAACCCGGCGTAAAGCCCTCGGGCAAACCTCGCTCCTTATCGATCTGCCCCTGAGACGAAGAGAAGAGTAAGAGAGAGAATAAGAGGGTTACAGAGTAGTAGCAGCAACCTAGAGTGGTGAGTCTTTCCCTCTCTCTCTCTCTCTCTCTCTGTCTCTCTGTCTCTCTCTCTTTTCGGTGGTGGTTTGGATAGATATAGGTATATATATAGATATATATAGGTATAGATATAAGATAGACCTCAGCAGAGAGCCACCTACTCGAGCGTGACTCCGCAGCCAAAGTCGAGCCTATCAATATTTCCTCCCAAAATCCTTCCTCCGTACCTCTTTCATTCCTTCTTCGTCTTCCTTCTTCTTTATTCTCCTTTTCGATTTTTTCCAACTCGTCTCTTTTTCTTTTCCACGAAGACTTCGGGTAAAGTTTTAGAAAGATCTTTTCGTTCATCATTTTTTAAGCACGCATTGCCTTTTCCAAAAAGAACAACATATTTTTGATCATATAGCGCTCAACAATGTAACTAAAAAATAAATGCGTATAATTTAGTAAAAAGTTATAAATATTTGAGAATAATAAAAGATATAGATAATTTACGGATCGCTAATCGGTAATATTATTTTCGAAGGACGAGTGTGCTGACTATGAGATAATAAGGAAATAAAGCGAACAAGAAAAATCACTCGGTTCATTCGTATAAAAGAAGGAGGTTAAGGAACAGGGGAAGGAGGAGGAGGAGGAGGAGGAGAAAGAGGAAAAGAAGTAGAGGACGATGAAGAAGAAGCTCGGAACTGTTAGCGTACAATCTTCTTCTCATTTTTCGCCTTGTTTTTATCCTATCCTCAAATCTGTCTCATACTCGCGATATATAACCGTTATTTTTCGCGAAAACCACTCCATTATATCTTTCTTTCTCTCTTCTTTTCTTTGTGCACTTTTTTCCTCGGCAAAGACGTTCTTCGTGTCACCCCAACTCTTTCCTCTACTCATCTTCCTCTTTGATAACTAGCTAGCAAGCTTTTCGTGGACCGTCTCGTTCGAAAGTGGCCCGACGACAAAACAGGACAATACTTTATATTAACTCCATCATTATTTCTTCGTCCGGAAAAGTAGTTTGGAAAAAGCGAGTCGTGCTTTCCTAATGGTTAGAAATCACAGGGAGGGTAGGAGGGAGGGAGGGAGGGGTTTCGCGATCATATCTATGTCTCCTTGTTTTTTCGAAAACTCTTCCACTTCCTCTTCCTCTCTCTCTCTCTCTTTGAATAGTTCATCCATCGAATGAAATTTCAACGTGGTAAAGGAATCTCTTGATGGCAACTAGGAAAGACTAATCTAACTTTTACAACAACTCGCTATAGTTTATTTCGGAAGGAAATACGTTTACCTAGTCACAGTTGAGAAATCTTGCGGACACGTCTAGCGTACGTGAGAGAGAAAGAGAGTGTAGAAGAAGAAAAGATAAGACTGACTCACGTAGAAGGTGTACCAGAAAGGTAGTAGCTAGGTAAGTAACCGCGGGTTAAGTTTTTCCAGGCGATCTGCTCTCCGGATTCAGATCAATACCTGCCATCTGGACCTTGGCTCGAGGAGGGCCACGAGGAGGATCGACGATCTAAGAGAGAGAAAGACAGGGCTACCGAAGCGAGACATGGTGCGCGTGCGAGTGTGTGTGAAAGAGAAAGAGAGAGAGAGAAGGAGAGGTGGAGGAGTCACTCGAGCAACAAGCCACCGGCGCACCCTCAACTACTAGAATCCTTCCAAGACGCATCGAATGCTCGGCCAAAAAGCCATTTCTGTAGCTACATACGCCTAGCTTTCACGCTGTTCTGAATACGTGCTTATCCTTTCCCTCTCTCTCTCTCTCTAACTCTCTTTCTCTGTTTCTCATACTCAGGAGCGAATGAAAATAACCGTAAGCAAACCGAAAGAAGCGCACGAGCAAGTCTGGCGCATAGCATGACCGTCGAAAGTGTCCGCGAATCGACGAAACTTTATCGTCCGTTACATCCCTCTCAACGTCGCGTCGTAATATTATTTAGATCTTGATGGCCCTTACAGTCTCACGCTTTTCTTATCTTTATATTTCGTTCTAACGATCTCACGTGTGTTCGGCACAATATTCTACGATTTATCGTCGAATGTTATTTTGTTAATTTTTACATTTTACATTTTTTCAAAGTATTACTTTTTTTTTCCCCGTCATTCCCTATACTTAGAAATTAGGTTAAGATTGAGATCGAATATTCGAAGGATAAAAATAAAAGAGAAAGTAAGAATGTTAAATTAGTGGTTTAGATGCTCGTCAACGCGTTAAACTCATTTGCGTAGGTTTCCATTAGCAAGTCCAGGGAAATCGGATTAGTTGATCTCGCTTGTAAGAAATTCGATCCGCATTACGCTCGATTAGATTATCAGTTATCCACTTGTAGGGATAGTAGGAATAGGGACTGTAACAACACGCTAAAGTACACGAGAGATGAGGCGGATGAGACAGGAGATAAGGTCTTAAGTAGCGACTGATTAAATCTCGGGACATATGCGAGTCGATCAATGGTTCTCTGCCTTTTCTTCCATCTCCCTTTATCTCTCTCTCCTCCATTCCAAACGAGAAGAAAGAGAAAGAGAAAGAGAAAAAGAAAGAGAAAGAGGGAAAGGGAAGAACAGCAACAGCAGCAGCAGCAGCCGAGTTGTTCAGTTTGTGCGGTGCTGATACGCTGTAATGCCGTCTCATGGGAGTTAGTTCCCCTGTTTTTCTCTTTGTAGGACGGCCCTTCGAAGTCGTAGGTAGTACTACTAGTGTTCTACTCCGAGCCGCTGACCCGAGCCACGACGCGACGTAAAAACACTCGAATTAATCGGCTCGTTCCCGAAGGAACCTGCGAAAGGTCAATAGGATCGGGGGTGTCGAATTGGTCTGTGTTGTACACTTATCTCGATGCACACTTGTTCGAAATGAAGTGGCCGAGGGTGTTGCTAGTAGCACAAAAGTGCTAGGACTAATCGCTCCCATCGGTGATTCGAGCGGAGCATATGTCGAGCGATTTCGATGATCGAATCCCCCCCTTTTTAGTTTTTCTAAAACTGGTCTCCGGAGAACTGTCTTTTGTTTCTATGACGGGGAGCTCCTCAGGTGTAGTCGATGTTATCGTTATTCGGAGATTTTGAAGAGACCGATAAGATATGTAATACACGTTTACTTACCGATTGATCGAGGAGACGGATGGTACGTTGTCCTGCGAGCAAATCCCTTCGGCTAACAACCTGTCTCGTATCTCCCAAGCAAACATCGTTGGATTGTCCCTCTTGTAATTAGCGATAGCATCGACCACTGGTGGCGTTGCTACCTTAGGTTTCGAACCACCTATCACGCCAGCCTTGAAGCTACCGGTTTCGTAATACCTGTGTTGAAACCAAGTTAAAATCACTTTAGCTGTTAGAGTACGTTACTTTCTCTAGATAAATTATATTCAATTCACTTCAAGATAATACAACATTGAAAAAAATATAAGAAAAAATGTATAAGAATGGAAAAACAAAGTCTCGATGGCTTACTTTTTGTAAGAGAAAAGGGTAAGAGAGAAAAGATTGCGCATTTTTCCGGAGAGGCAGTCAGCCAACGTTGGAATAACGAATAGTCGTCCAACGGTGCGTCAACGGCCGGCTGTTTTAAAACAAACGGCTTCTGCCCCCTGCTGGCCTACCCCCGTCTCTCTCCCTCTCTGGCAGCCACCCGCGGCTATAGGAACTCACGGGCTCGCCAGCGGCGATGGACGATCGCGATTGGACCGCCGTGAACGCGCCCTTTGTGCCTAATTAGTTAAATAATATCTTCGCTCGTGCTTAAATTCAATTACGGCAGAAAGCCCGCAATAATGGTCCGCTTGTGGGCCGCCTTGATGGATGTGGGTCCGAGAACCTCGCTCGGCTTCTCTCCTACTCGTTCTCGATATATATCCTCCCTTTTCTAGCCGTTTATTTTGCGAACGTACCATTCGTCGTATCATTCTCGAAAGAGACACACCGGCATTTTAACAATTTTCATTATTCTAACGGTAGGAAAATGATTCCGGCGTTATCAATAACATCGAATTCAAAAAATTATTCGACTTTTTGTGAAAGATTATATTGAGCCAACTATAAATGATATCGTAGATTTTCGGTTTGTTCCGTGGGATCGTTAATGGGTTCTTACGGTTATGGCAAAGCCTAATATGATTTCGACGAAGGAACGCGGTCGGCACTTGACGCGGAACGCGCTAACGGCGAATTGAGCCGTCCCCTAGCGAGCTTCTAACGCCGTTCTTACTTTCGGGGGGGGGGAGACACGGGGAAAGACACGGGGGCAGACACGGGGAAGCCAGAAATTGATCTACCACGCTAAAATTCGATTATCGACACTTCAACTTGTCGTCTCTTGCTTCTCGCTTTATCTCTCGATATGTCTCTTGAGAACCGAGAACTGAGAACTTCCCTGAATTCTCTAACTCGAACGCTTCGCGTGAAATCAACTGCGAACGATTCGATGCCAAAAAGATAATTATCTACGAAAAACAAATTTATCTATATTCACATTTGCAGATTAAACGAAGCATTGTTAGCTGCGCGATACGAGAAAATAGATTTCTCTTATAATATTTTTTTTAATCGAGGTAATATATATTGACCATCGTATTGCAAATACCGATCACGAATTTAATGATCCAATACTTATTGTAATAGTCACGATAAAAGAAAAGGAAAAAAAAAAGAACAAGAGCGAGAATTATTGAGAATAACGTTGGATTTTGAACCTGCTGTTATAAAAGCGTTCTGGCACCCTTAAATAGTAGAGGTCACGGGTGGAACCCTTCGAAATTATTAGATACGATTATATCTGGCGTAAAACCCCATTCCAAGCACACATGGCAATACTCAACCGTTGACATTTCACTCTCTCTCTCTCTCTCTCTCTCTCTCTCTCTCTCTATCTTTCTTGATCTATGCCGTTCGCTTTGTAACAATTCTCTTTTTCTCTTTTTGTTCTGCTTCGGGCTCCCTCGCGTGAAATAGTCATTAGATCGTACGATTTTTCAAATCGACCGAGTGCTCTCGCTTAATTTCGATTTAAATGCGTTCGAAACAGGTTCACGTATGATTCACTACACTTTCATTCTCCGGGCGATATAAACGTAGTTTTTCCTCCTTTTAAATCATTGTCGTAGATAGATCACGATCATTTCGATCGTAAATCATAATTATGATCAATGGCAATAAATATCAGTTTCAAAATAATATTTATGACGAAAATTTAGAACATTTTTTTCCTTTTTATAGTTACGAATGATTTCATTTGCGACGAGAAATCCTTGAACATTTACCGAAGGATTAATTCCTAAGTATTACATAGAAATTCTGTTGACTTCAACCGCGTACAAAGATAAACCGATTTACTCTTTGCTTTACCACGAAGAAGAAGAAGAAGAAGAAGAAGAATAATAAGAAGAAGAAGCAGGGGAAGATCTCTTTGTGTCTGGACCAAATAATTTTGGGTCTCTTTTTGTTGCCTAAAAAGCGGTAGATGCTTATCCTTCTGTAAAGGTCTAGTGCACAAGCTTTTCAACACTACGCGCGGCTCTTTTTACGAGCTTCTCTCATTTCGATTGGAGAATTCGGCTATTGAACAAGTCCCGTATGTTAGAGAGTAGCTTTTCAGTGGCGTTTTCGTGGCGTTTTGGTGGCAATTCGGTGCCGGTGCAGACGATTCCGCGAAGACGAAAGAGAACGCGCGTTCTTACGAGGTGTATCACCGACGCGTGACTGCGTAAAACGGCAACCTCTTGTGTTTTAACGCTGTTTCCTTCTCCCGAAAACCCTTTCGGCATGGCGCGAACGTTTTCCAGCCGTAAAATTGTACAACTTGCATCCGTTTTTGTTATTTATCGTCTCTTGCCACTTCTTCCTTCTTCATCTCCTTCTTCTTCTATTTTTAGAACATAACTCGTCGACGAAATTGCGAACGAAAGTTTTTACTTTTTTCTTTTTCTTCTTCTTTTTTTCCGTGGAATATAGTTCTTACAATGTTTTTAGCTTTGACTTTTTTTCTCCAGACGAAAGTATAAAATTGCGATAGTGAGACAATTCGATTGTACAGGCAAAAGTACACGATCACCTGTGGTGTGTGTGCTTTTACGAGCAATCGATTAATTCGTCGACCGGGCTATTTCCGTTGGTTTCTAAATAAATCATTTAGGAAATCGTAATTTCATCGACGAGATCCATACGACCACATGGATAATCATTTCGTCGTCTTTCTCTTTCTCTTTCTCTTTTTTCCTAGTCGCGATCGATTTCGACCACGTTCAAATTGGAATTCGCGCCGTCGAAGCTATCGATCCAATAAGAAGAGAAAATTGCGTTCACTCTCCATCTTTCTTTGTCGTATTGAAAGTAAGTACTTATCGATGGTACATACATGCAACATGCAATAGCCGTTCGTTCTATTCATTGCCGCCCTTTCTAGTATCGCGTTCGTATTCGATAAATGGATATTGGATAACAGTCGATTAAGTTTATAACTGTTAACTTTTACGGGCTTGAGCGTTAGACCGTCCTTTCTGTCGGAAAACACATACGCGCATACCTAACCGAATACCTACCTACATACCTACCTACATACCTACATTCATTAGCACACGGATATTGAGAAAAAAGTGTCTCGTGTTCTCGCGGATCGCGATTGAATTTCAGTAATAAATCCCAGAAGTATAATTTCTATGACATGACATCGAATACATTCGTTATGTCCACTAGACGTTGACTTTTTTTTATTACATATTTTTCTTTTCTCTGTTTTTTCTTTTTTTTCTTTTTTTTTTCTTTTAACAAAAAGCTCCGATACTTTATTATTTATTTAAAAACATAGATATTCGAAGTTTAGTTATTTTCTCCGGCTATCAATGCAGAGAGAAAAGAATCGAAGAGAAATGGATATATGGGGGTTTATTCCTATGAAGGGTAAAATATTCTCTTTCCCTCTTTTACTCCAGTAGCAGCAAATAATATAATCCGTCTATTATATTGAATCCATGAAAGAACTCGCTCGCATAGATGACAATGATATTCTAAAGACGAGAAGGACGACGGCGGAAGAATGACATTCGGCCCATCAAAACGGCACGAGGCCACCCGTTATAGCCGAGCGGGGTAGAGGGTGGAAAAAACACGGAAACCGCATATCGTCGGCTCCCTTGGCACCCCCGCGTCTCCCCACCAACACAGAGAGAGAGAGAAGGGTGTTTCCTTCCGGTCCTGTCGTTACTTCCCGAGCCTTATTTCTTACTCAAACTTCTAACGGCGTCTTTAATTAAATCACTCGGATCCGAGAATAGAGGAGAATACTTTCTTTAGTTTTCTTCTTTTTTTTTATTTATGCCGAGAGACGATTGCAATCGCGATCCTATGTGCAATACAATGAAGACAAATAAATTGAAAAGGTGGTCCATTATAAGAGTAAAAATAAAAGAGATAAGAGTTACTCACCTAGACAATATCTTGGATACACAGCCGTGAGATACCCTGAGTTGTCTCGAAATGTCGCACGGTCGGACACCACTGTGCGCGAGTTCGACGATCCTTTGCCTTACCACGTCCGGTAAGGGCCTCCCATTCACAAAGACACCACCAAGCTGGTTAACTCCACCGTGGCCTGGAAAAATCGAAATCGATGGAGCATTAGTCGAGTCGAACGATCCTACCTACTCGAGCTTTAAGAATGTACTTTAGAATGGTCTAACGATGCTAAGAAGGAATGAAAGAAAGAAAGAAAGAAAGAAGGAAGGAAGGAAGGAAGGAAGGAAAGAAAAAGAAAGAAAGAAAGATATCATTCGGGGTCAACCTTCCGTGCACTCTCGCGAGACTTTCGAGCTTTCGATTTAAAGCTTGCGACGTTCCACGAACTTCTTACAAGGATACGTATTGGACTTTGATCCTGTGGGGAAAAAAGTATGAGAAGTGGCCTTCCTTTCTTTACCATTTCATTTAAATGGAATTTTTTAATCGTGCCAATATTTAGACAAATTTGTATGATATATTTGTTGTTGAAATTGCTTTATGATTTTGAAAATATTCGCACGAATCGAAATAAAATGAACCGCTTTGTGTAAAATCGATCGAACAAAGCGTGTACGTTTGTATTTTTGAGAAAAGTTTTGTTACTGTATGTTTTCTAAATGGTAACCGAGTTATGGTTAACTCGACGTAGCAATGTCGTTGTTGAGAAAGCAGGTGAAAGTTGTATCGCTTTTGCGAGAGAGGAATGGAAGTTATTGAACGTGACCGATCGTCCCCTTTTTCGGAAAATTGCGCTTTTCTCTTGAACGTGCCTGGTAAGAAAAAGAAAGAAAAGGGAGAGTACAGGAAAAAAGGGAGGAAAGAAAGAGAAAGGGACGTTATTATATATATATATATATATATCAATCGCAGAGAGGAGAATATGATTTTTTTGTCGAGAATTTCATTCTACTTGAAAGTATCGTTTGAGGGATTATTATAACTCGGTGAGATTTTCAAAAGATCTTTGCTATAATTTCTCATGGTTCGTATGGGATCGTAGAACTACGTAGGCGGGTTCCTGAGGTTTATTTTCTCGATTTATCTTACGGATCTTTGGCACGAGTTTTGTTCAGAAAATCGAACGAATACGCGGTAACTTTTGGAGAAACACCACCACCGCCATTTAATAATGTTCATTATTTCGCAGACGCGAGGTCTTAATTCACGTATGGAGTAGAACGCGATAATTCCGAGTTTAATAACGCAAATGGAGGGTTCTGTCTAGTGACATATGCCCTCGTGTTCGCGCCGCTGCGTCGATGATTCGATGATCATCTCGTAACGCGTCGAGTGTTCCTTCATCAAACTCCGATCGTCCCTTACAACGCATTACATTAAATTATCTCTTTATTCGCGTCTGGGAAAGCTCTCCCTCTCTTTTCCCGTCTCCGCGAAACAAAGGGGGGAAGGAACCGAACGAAACGACACGATTTATTTTCCGAATTTTGTTAATTCTTCTTTCTTTTTTATCAAAGCAATTACTTTTAATTTGACTGTTACCGATCGCGTTCGTTGCGGTTATCGTGGTCAACGCAAGCGCACACGAACAAACACGTCTTTACACATGCACGCGAGCTGCCTCCCCGATGAAATCTATCGTTGCAATTACCCACGGATAATTGCGTTTGCTAGATTACATTTCGATTTGATTTATCGATGCTTTCGCGCGAACGATCTCTCTGTTTTCTACATTATTTCATTTTTTACATGTTTTCTCTAGTTTTCATTTTTTATCATGGGATAACGGAGAATACATCATGAATACTTTAAAAAGTATATTATCTACGTCGATAGAGAAATATATTCAACATTTTTAACTTTTTTCGTACTTTTAACAATTTTTCTCTATTTTCTAGTTGTTTATTTTGTTTGACAAAAGGAGAAAAACACAGAAAGTTGGTATATCTCGCATAGAGAGAAGACAATGAGAGATTCCCCGATATCATTACTAGAAACGATACGCGCTTTCCGGTCGCAAATCAATTCGCTTTCGCGTTTATGGTCGCATCCCCGTGGCGTTGGCCGGTAGTCAGGGGGACATCGTTGGAATCATGGTGGCATTTCGACGGCAAAAGCACCATGACTGGCCTACGCGCGACTCACACACGCGGCGTCACGCCTGCTGACCACAACTATACGAGGGTTCTCTTTGCCAACCTCTCGACCACCCCCGCCGATTTGCCGAGAGAGAGAAGTAACAAACCGAGTCCGCTCGGTTTGCACTCGGTTTCCAATGGTATTACCGAAACTTATTACTCGAATAAATCGAACTCTAGATATTTTCAAGCAAAATAACGAGCTCGGATTAACGAGATTAGGTTTATACTAATAACAGCGAAAAGATAGATCGATAGATAGCACTGCATCAGAAAGAAAAAAACATTACAACTTAATTACTCTATCTTACTTTCTCTCCGTGCATTTTAGGTTGCGTCAATAATTAATCTCGAGATGTTTTTAAGATTTTCTCTCGATATATATTTATATTTATATAATTAAATCGATCTCTTACCTAATATTAAAAACCAGCAAAGAAAGAGTGAGAGAGAAAGAGAGAGAGAGAGAGAGAGAGAGAGGTAGTATCGATATTGCTTATTGGTCAATCGAATACGATTCAGAAAAGTATATAGACCGGATCAAAAGAATCTGGCGTTTCGCGATCGATTCGTTATACGCAAAGAAGAACAATAAGAAGAAATGAAAGATAATTAACGAATCGTGCCTATCGTCGTAGCGTCGTCGTCAATGATGCGACCAGTCATCGTAGAAAGTTACCGAGAGTAACAGAAGAAGACGCGATAAACCAAAGCGCTTTCTGTACGCGCGATCCCAATTATAAAGTGTCTCGTTTTAATCGAACGAATCGAACGCAGCGGTATGAGAATGGGATTTCATCCATTACGATTTGCTCGATCGTATATTGGGAATACATCCGTCGGTTTAAATACGCGAATAAAATCGAGTGTGCGGTGAAACGTATCCGGCAAAATACGGATCGTCCGTTCGTTCGAAAATAACGAAGGTGGATCTCACCAACGAGGACTTTTACCTTCCTCTTCCCTCCCCCTATCGATTCCGCCATATTTTTTTTTTTTTTATATTCCTTCCTCTTTCTATCGACGATATAAATTCGATACGAACGTTCGTTCATTTATTTATGTATTGTATCGATGCATATGCATTGTATGATCAAAAAATCCCTTTCTCTCTTTCCTTCTCTCTCTTTCTTTTCCTTTCTCTGTCACTTTTTGTGCTCAAAGTGCTTTTTTCACGTTCGATAATTTTTCTCGATCAGACTCCCTTCTAATCGATCACGATTCGTGACGCGTCGATATAAGAAGCTTCCACGGAGAGAAATAAGGTGACCTGGCTGTGCGCCGAGCTGCTGCGGACTACTTTTCGATCTCTTGTCTCGAGTCTCCATTGTGTTTCCCCGTTAAGAACGCGTGTCTGAGGATAGAGAGAGATCATCGTTTATTTTTTATATTTTTATCACTGGACTTCATTTTAATACTATTACAATCGATTTGATTTAATTCGATATACGACGCGAAATGATTTGAAAAAGACTCAAAGTTGGAAGATTAAAGCAACATTTTGTTCGTAAGATTCGACATCTCGCCGACGGATCGGAAATTCGATCTGGGAAGCCCGAACTCGAGTCAAAGTTATCGAGAATCGTGCGTTAGATTCGCGCCGAAGCACGATATAGATCCTCGAACGTAGTCACTCGATATTTCTCATATCGGCATCTCGTGCCTTGCTTTGTTCTTGTATTGTATTACACACTCTCCTTCTCGTTAAATATATATATATATATATATGTATATTACTCGAGTCGCACCTGCATACGATAGAAAAAAAACACGGAGAGAAAAATTCGTTCGCGATTATACTTCGTTGCGCTATATCCGCCATATTTCTTTTTGTCTATCTTTTTTCTACCCGTTTGTTTGTATTTTTCCAGGGAATCGCTATTGAAACAAGTACGTCATACATTTAAAGTAAGATTCGAGCAAATATGTTGTACTTTCAATATCATTTAGAATGAATTCTGGTTTTACACTCATTAGTACATCGAAGATGATTCAAAGATTTTATAAAGAAAAAAGATGAGACGTATTTATAAGAATGTATGAAAATGGCGAATGAGTTGGTAAGGTAATTTGCAACAAGCAGCGGATTCATTTATACAACTAATTAAGTTTATTTTTCTCGCCATCGGAAAAGGATTACTCTGCTTTGCGCGTTGCGAAACGATTTAACGACGAGCGCTACCGAATACGATCTGTGCGAATGAGAACCCGTTCTCCTGCTCGTATTTTATAATTATTATCGTTTCATTAGCGTCATCGCGGATCCATACCAGACGCCTATATAAACGATCCTTTTCCTATATGTGTCGTCCTTCTGCAAAACGATTACTAAAAGGATACTCGAATTTTTCTTCATTACTACCTACACCTTAACCTTCATTATTAATTAAACACCAACGTGAAAATCTTTTCGATTAACATAGCATAGATTTATCTCGTTTTTATGCACGAAAAAACTGATTACGTTTTTATTAAGTAACTTTTTTTTCTCTTTATTTAGATTTATCTTAAATAATTTTTCTCAAATTGAATAATTTCCGAGCGCAATTTTATTTTTATTGAAAAACGAGATAAAAACTTGAGAATACGAAACGTTTACGGCGTCAGGGAGGGTGGAAGGGAAAGAAGAAGAGATAGAACGGCATGGAACTCATCTTTGAAATGATGATCTTGTACGTAGATGAGAAAACGCATCAACTGTGGTTAGAGTTTTTTCACGAGTTTCGAACGTGATTCGGGATCACGAAACGAAGGCCGTACACGATTGATACGTATTTCTGTCTGTTTTCTTACGAACGAAAGTTCGTACCGATCGTTTTGGTCTTTGGTCGGTGAAATTTTTTTCGCCTCCTTGATCGTTCTACTTTGTTTCCTATTCGTTGTTTATAATCGATTCAATCGAGAGAAATCAATTTTCTCTATAGTTTTTCCTATTTGTTTTCTTATCGATTTTACAAATAAATTCTATCCGATGCAAGATTTCTAAGTGTTCACAAAT